GATTAACATAACAATAAAAAAATTTAAAGAAAAAAATAAACTATCAAACCATAAAAAGATGTAGAAGTAACTTAAGTGCATATTACTAAGTGAAAAAGTCAGTCTGAAAACGCAACATGCTATGTGATTCCAACTATATGACGTTCTGGAAATAGCAACACTATGAAGACAGTAAAAAGACTAGTGGTTGCCAGATTATGCAGGAGTTAGGGATGGATAGGCAGAGTACAGAGGACTTTTATGGCAGTGAAACTATTCTATGCAATACTGCAATGGTGGATGCATGTCATTATACTTTTGTCAAAATTCATACAATGCATTATACCCAGAGTAAGCAATTTTGTGCACTATGGACTTTGGATGATAATGGCATGTCAGTGTAGGTTCACTGAGTGTAATGTAACAAATGTACTTCTCTCGTGACGGTTGCTGATCGTAGAAGTCGCTGTGTGTGGGGTGTGGACAGGAGGTGTATATATGAAAAACTCTGTATCATTTGGTCAGTTTTTCTGTACACCTGAAACTGTTCTCAAAATAAAGTCTATTAAAAGAAAAACAATGACTGGCCCATGGGCATAATTTGCCATCCTCTGGTCTATGGTATGCCTGTGAGCCTGGGTCGCTGGAGTAAGCTGAATGACAAGACTGTTGAAGAAGAGAAAGTCAAGGAATGAAGGAGCTGAGTATTGAAAGAAGAGTGTGGAATCTGACATTACTCAGACCCATGAAAGTGATGTTGGAGAAGGTGACAATGAACCAGTGTTGTGTTTAAGGAATGAAGGGGAGTGACTCTGGTGTTAGTACTTGGCTACACAAAAGTGTGATAGAATAACCCTTTTTTTTCCAACACAAGGAAAGGTCCAACTATTCTGACTATCTAAACTTGAGTATTATTAAAAATAACATATAAAAGCAAAGAGTCTTTTGGTAAAGATTAAAGAAATGTGGAACTATAACCAAGAAATCACATTTATCTTAAAGAAAAATGTTGTTTGTCCTATACCAGATCAGAATTTGTTTGTCTATCTCATTGATATCCGTGACCACTGATTAATCTTGGTAAACTCTGATAACAAACTTACTTGGAAACACGTTGCTTCAGGTGCATTTGGTGTTAATTCTTAATAACTTGCTTACCTTGTTATTTGTTCTCTTTGTATCTCACATTAATTTCACTTCTATTTGGTTAAATTTAAGGATCTGCTAAATAAAATAATTCTTTAAAACCATAACTAACCAACCTCCTGTCTATTTTAGATATTATGCTCGCTTCTCTATACTCTCAGAATCCGGTTGATTGGACTGAGTCTATGTCTCTTTTCACAGCCTCTGATTTGCAGAAACGGGGCTTCTTCCTAAGCTGATGTCAGCTACAGCTGGGTAGGTACTGTGAGAGCGGGAAAAGGACAAGAGCCACTTAGAGGAGCTTTTGTTTCCAAATGATTACTCATAACCATAAATTGTAACATTAAGATGACTGAGACTGTAGATTAATCTTTTTACCAACCTGTATTCTTTTGTCCACACATCAACTTTTTACCATTCATATTCTTATATATATATATTTTAATTTTTTATTGTTATGTTAATCACCATATATTACATCATTAGTTTTTGATGCAGTGTTCCATGATTCATTGTTTGTTCACTAACACCCAGTGCTCCACGCAGAACGTGCCCTCTTTAATACCCATCACCAGGCTAACCCATCCCCCTACCCTCCTCCCCTCTAGAACCCTCAGTTTGTTTTTCAGAGTCCATCATCTCTCATGGTTCGTCTCCCCCTCTGACTTACTCTCCTTCATTCTTCCTCTCCTGTTATCTTCTTCTTTTTCTTTTTTCTTAAAATATGTTGGTTATTTGTTTCGGAAGTACAGATCTGTGATTCAACAGTCTTGCACAATTCACAGCGCTTTTTTTTTGGTCAGAATCACATCACAATCTCTTGAAATTATAGCTTGGTAAATTACTTGTTTAGAATTTAAGCGAATGCATTTATAAATAAGTATAGTTTTCTTATATTCCTCACTAGATGTCATTTACTTTGACTAAATTTACTCAAACCATTTTAACCTTTCAGTGAAAGTCCAGGAGTTTCTATTTTTTTAAATGCTCAGCTGACATTCTGATTTACCAAAAGGACATCACCATTTCTCCAAAGTGCATTTGTTCAAAATCGGGAGAAAAGAAAATAAAGGCTTTCATATTCTATTTTTTTCATATTACATTCTTTTCAGTACTTTTTTTCTTTAAGGAGTTAGGGGAATTATAAAATTATAGGTGAATCATAAAGTTCTTAAATTCTATAAGCTGAACCCGCAATGTACTAAATGCTGTCCAGTGCATTAATAATAAAGTCACTCAGTGTCAAAATAGTCATTGTTTTTTCATTGTGCACATTCAGATCTACCTGAGTACTTCTCACATGGATGCAATAATATACCATCCTGTGTATTAGAGGAAGATGCTCTTGCCCACTGGGGGGTGGTTAGGCTCTCAAAGAAGGGTTTCCCGAGATCCTCCCAGGGTAGAGCCACATTTACTTTTTTGGGCCCTCATGTGACCAGTATATTGACCAGATGGCTGGAAGATTTCAAAAACTTGCAAGACTTATTTTTCTTCTTAGAAGGCAGGTTTTTGGTAGACACTGTTAATTAAATTTTTTTTTCAAATAATCTGTTTCTAACTGCATAGTAAAAGGAATTTACTTTGGAACGAACATGAAATAATCGGTGGAAGAATGTTCGCTCTTATTTTATACAAAAAACACCTTTGCTATTATTTTATACAAAGGAAAAATCTCTTTTTGTTCATTTCAGTCTTTGTAGTGGAGAACAGCATATTCAGGAAGAAAAGCCTACGTTTATGGGATGTGTGTGTGTGTGTGTGTGTGTGTGTGTGTGTGTATTGCATGCATACATGTCTGTACAAGGACTTAACACTCATGACAGATAGAAACTCATTAGTTACAATAGCAAGTCCACATATCTGTTCTTGAATAGAATTACTGGCATACAGAAGCTTCTAAATAACTGGCTCAAAGATTTTAAATGATATCTATAGCTATTTGAAACCAAACTACTTACTGGACTAAAAATGTATGAATTTCAGGTCACTTTTGCAAGTGTATTATAAAAATAGTTTAATCCTAACCTATATTACATTCTGTTTTCGTTCTATACTTGTTAGAAGTATATTAACAATATTTGATTTTCACTTAGCACACAGTGGCTTAAATTCTGTCTCAATTTACCTTGCTTGGTGGATGACAGAAAATGAGCATGCTAATTTTCATGTTTCAATTACCTATTATTTAGAAGAAGGATCTATTAAAGCAATCATAATGTATATGGTAAGCCTTGAAGTTAAAATCACATTTCTAAAAGGTACACTGCAATTCTAGGAATGTGTGTGTGTATGTATGTATGTATGTATGCATGTATGTATGTGTTTACTATTCATAGGCTAACTGCTAAGAGCAATTTTGTATATTACACAATCCAGAATTTATAAAGAAAGAGAAAGCAGAATAATTAGAGCCATACTGTATGCCTTTCCTTTTTATTTGAGGATGCTACCTTTCTCTGTTATTTTACATATTAAGGTAAAGTCATGCACTTTTGTAGTTTTCATTAGACAGTAAGTTATTTGGAGAATTAGAAAGAGGATTTTACTTTTTTATTTTCTACTCAAAGCACTGTGCTAGGCGTTAGGATGGCAAATAATACAGATACGAATGAGCAGATCTCAAATAACATTGGGAAACTGAGCACATTATGTAACACTCTTGTAGATTTGTGACAAAAATTATCATATTAAAGCATATTCTGACAATCTCAGATGGAAATCTGTTTAACTTTGCTGTTGGCCCTCCTTCCCAAAGACTCTTCTTTTGTAAAACAACCGTTAATATCTCCAGCAGCCTCTATTTGATGGAGCAGACTTTGGAAAATGCTGGGTCGCAGTAACATTTTTGCCTTAGTTCAAGCCCCAACCCCCTCACTTCCTGTCTAGTCGCAGTTACACACCACAAGGCAGGATTTCCTTGAGCAGCACATCAGCAACCCCAGGTAGTGATTGGGATGGATATTTCTATTTAGTTACTTCCTTGTAGCCAAAGTGGATAAGCTTGCATCACTTTCTCAGATTTTAGATTTGGAAGACTCCTCTGACTATATGAGTTGAACCTTATAAGGTGTACCAATAGGATTTCAATTGTTAGTAAGTTCCTATCTTCTGACCCAGGTACTGAACATATTCATGGTTCCCATGTCACCATGACAAACCATTAGAGATTTGGAGCAAGATGAGGCATTTCAGAACTCCAATACCAAGATGCATGTATAGTTCACAACTTGGCCTAAATCATCAATTTGCCCTGCTCTGAGGACAAGTTATAGATTTTTTTTTTAGGATTTTATTTATTTATTTGAGAGAGAAGAAGAGAGAGAGTGAGTGAGCAGGGGGAGGGGCAGAGGGAGGAGGAATCCCAAGCAGAATCCAAGCTGAGCACAGAGCCCTACGCGGGGCTCAATCCCTTGATCCTGAGATCACCACCTGAACCAAAACCAGGAGTCAGCTGCTCAACTGACTGAGCCACTCCGGTGCCTCCACAATTACAGAATTTTTAATTGGCAATCTTATTTTAAAACTGACTTGAAAAAATAGAGCATACTGTTTTTTTCTTTCTGCAAAAACATTTTAAACCACCTTCACCCTTGGGTACTCGTTGTCTCTCATCCAAATTACCGCAAGTCTCATAATGGATTTCCATGTTTCTGCCCATACTTCCACCCACACAAGGATTTCACAGTGAAAGGATCCTTATAAAACAAGTTTGATCGCTTACTGCTATATTCAGAGCCCTCTCATGACTTGCCATTTCAGAGAAAAGACCAAGTCCTCACAATATTCAAGAAGTCCCTACACAACCTGATATCTTCATTTCATCTCCTTTCCCACCTTCTCCTCCTTACTCTCCTTTATCCAGTTATACTTACCTTCTTGCTTCGTGTTCTCTCTGAATGAAATGGTCTTCCTCCAAAATAATACATGGGGGTGCCTGGGTGGTTCAGTCAGTTAAGCTTGATTTCAGCTCAGGCCATGATCTCAGGGTCGTGAGAAACTCTGTGCTGAGCTCCGATTCTGCTGGAGATTCTCTGCCTCTGTCTCTCTTGCTCATGCTCTCTCTAAAATAAATAAATAAAAACTTAAAACAAATAACACATAGGTAACTTCCTGCTTTTTTAAAGTAATTGCTCAAATACTAGTTTCTCAATAAAACTTACTGTGACCAAATATTTAAATTTGCAACCTTCCCAAGTACTTCCAATCCTCCTTAACCTGTTTCTTTCTCCATAACATGTACTGCTTTCTAAAACATTGCCTAACTTATTTACTTTATCTATTGTTTATCGTCTGTCTTCCCTGCTAGAATTTAAATTCGGTGTGGTCAAGGTTTCTTGTATGTTAGTTTTTGGTTTGGCATCTTTTATTAACTGTATTCCAAGCAACTAGAAAGGAACATTGCTGACACATACCAGGTGTTCAGTAAATTTCTGTTGACCAAGTGGGTGAATGAATGGGTAAAATAATCAAAACAAAATGTTTTCCACTTGTTTGTTGAAAAAAAAAATCATCAACCTAAACCGTTTCCTTTTTTTGTTAAAAAAAAAACAAAACAAACCCTAGTGGTTTGCAAGATAGAAAAATCTAGCTTTAACCCAGCTAATTGTATTTTTGGTTTCTCTTTAGATAAACAAATAGAAGAATTATGTAATTCCTCACAATTTCAGTCCCTGTGTAGTTAAAACTTTATTTTGGTATTCATTGTTGATTTTGAATTGTGCTCTTTAATCTCATGCCAATACCTGACATCTAGAGAAATGTTGTAGAGTCCTGAAACCAATATCCTTCCTTCTTGACTTGGGCAGCAGATACTCTCTGCAACATTGCCTCAGCCCACATTAGTCGTACTGAAAGCCAAGATTTCAGAAGGCAGCAAGAGACATGGGTTTTGCACAAGTGGAGAGCATAGAAGTTTCAGTACTACATATTTTCTCCATTTTTTTCCCCCAAATGTTGCTTTGAAAAGCAGCAGAAAGAAAACACTCTCACTGACTGTGATGGCAGGTTACCCATGGGGGCAAGGGTGGGAGAGGCAGGTTCCAGGCTTAAACCATGCATTCTCCGAGGAGGATTAGAAGGGCTCTGAGCAACAACTGCAGGGTGAGGGAGGTCAGAGAGCTGGCAAATCTGGAATAAAATAAACCACCGTGTGCCAGATCTGCACAGCTGTGTCCACCACTGATAATCCTTCTGTAGGAACAAGCCAGTTGCTTTCTAGAGCATCCTGGAAGGGGACTTATTAAACAGGAAAAAAATAGAAAAGTCAGAGTCTTCATTGGAAGTTCTCTGCTCCTTGTCTTACTATTGTCCGTTTTAACAATACTTCTCTACTTCCTTCATTGATTGGTCTTCCTTATGTAAAGCAGTAAACCTAAACTCTGGGTAAAAACCAGAGCGCTGTGAATCGTGTAAGACTGTTGAAAATCACAGACCTGTACCTCTGAAACAAATAATACATTATATGTAAAAAAAAAAAAAAAGAAGAAGAAGAAGAAGATAGTAGGAAGGGAAAATGAAGGGGGGCATCGGAGGGGGAGAAGAAGCATGAGAGACTATGGACTCTGAGAAACAAACTGAGGGTTCGAGAGGGGAGGGGGTGGGGGCATGGGTTAGCCTGGTGATGGGTATTAAAGAGGGCACGTTCTGCATAGAGCACTAGGTGTTATACGCAAACGATGAATCATGGAACACTACATCGAAAACTAATGATGTAATGTATGGGGATTAACATAACATAATAAAAAAAAACAGACTTTTACATATCGACTCACTTCTCTTTTGCTCTTACATTTGAAAAATCTGTTAGCTCATTAATACCAAGAAGAAAACTCAAGGAATGCCCGAGTCATATATTCCCTGGCATTCTGAAGATATAATTCCCTGTATTTCTAACCTGAAACGTCTAATTCTAGTTCCTCACCTATGCTGCTAGTATCTTTCTTTTCCATCACGTTCTTTCTAACCTTGACAGAAAGAATATTGATTCAACTGTGCAAGTTTGAAATCTATATTATATATTTCAATCTGGTAGGTTAAATTTAAAAATATTAGCTAAAACTGTATTCCTAAAAACAAAACTAAATTTTTTTTAATTTTTATTGTTATGTTAATCACATAGTTGGTTTTTCAGAGTCCATCGTCTCTCATGGTTCGTCTCCCCGTCCGAATTACTCCCCTTCATTCTTCCCCTCCTGCTATCTTCTTCTTTTTCTTTTTTCTTAACATATGTTGAATTATTTGTTTCAGAAGTACAGATCTGTGATTCAAGAGTCTTGCACAATTCACAGCACTCACCATAGCATATACCCTCCCCAATGTCTATCACCCAGCCACCCCATCCTTCCCAGCCCCCACCACTCCAGCAACACTTAGTTTGTTTCCTGAGATTAAGAATTCCTCATATCGGTGAGGTCATATGATACATGTCCTTCTCTGATTGACTTATTTCACTCAGCATAACACCCTCCAGTTCCATCCATGTCGTTGAAAATGGCAAGATCTCATTCCTTTTGATGGCTGCATTATATTCCATTGTATACATATACCACATCTTCTTTATCCATTCATCTGTCGCTGGACATCTTGGCTCTTTCCACAGTTTGGCTATTGTGGACATTGCTGCTATAAACATTGGGGTGCACGTACCCCTTCGGATCCCTACATTTGTATCTTTGGGGTAAATACCCAGTAGTGCAATTGCTGGATTGTATGGTAGCTCTATTTTCAACTGTTTGAGGAACCTCCATACTGTTTTCCAGAGTGGTTGCACCAGCTTGCATTCCCACCAACAGTGTAGGAGCGTTCCCCTTTCTCCACATCCCCGCCAACATCTGTCGTTTCCTGACTTGTTAATTTTAGCCATTCTGACTGGTGTAAGGTGGTATCTCATTGAGGTTTTGATTTGGATTTCCCTGATGCCGAGTGATGTTGAGCACTTTTTCATGTGTAACAAAACTAAATTTTATCAATGACTTTAATTTTAATTTTCTTCTTGAACTTTTATATATATGCAAAATTTGCATAATGAAAATTACTGCATAATAAAATATCCTTCAGAAATTTTAATTAAAAATTCTTTATGCTATTTATTATTATTATTAACTTTTTCTTACTCCAAGCTACTCTTTATACACCAGGGACCAGAAATCAATTTTGTATTCTTACTTTTAGCTCCTTGTGACATTCACCTCTCTCTTTCTTTTTTTTTTATTTTGAAATACCACCATAATGTGTTCATATACAGTATTATACAAATATTGTACAGGTAATATTACTTACTACCAAAAATTCAGAAAATTTGTACTGCAGAAATTTACAAATTCAGAAAACTTACAAGATATAATATAGAAAATGGATGTCACCTGTAATGGCCTAAAGCTGATGACCATTATTTACATTTTGCTATATATACTAGAATTTTCTCTAAATATTTACTGTATAATTGTGGATATACACACATCCCCATACGCATGAGCATTTTTTTTTAAGATTTTTTTTTTTTTATTTGACAGAGACACAGCGAGAGAGGGAACACAAGTAGGTGGAGTGTGAGAGGTAGAAGCAGGCTTCCCGCCGAGCAAGGAGCCAGATGCGGGGCTTGATCCCAGGACCTTGGGATCAGGAGACATTGCACAATTTCTAATGCAAAGATAGCTTCTATAATTGACAAAGAATAGCGAAGTGAAAATGTCTTCACCTGGGAGTGAGGGACTCAATTCTCACCTTGGATTTGCTGTAGGCAGCTATCTAATTGTCGGGAAAACTGTTTACACATCAATAAAAAGTTTGGTTGAGCTACCCTCTAGGTTCCTTTTTAGTAATATAATACCATGTTTTAATGCCACATTTTGTTGTTGTTGTTGGATGGCTATCGATAGAAGTGGAAGTAAGATAGATTTGGCTGCTGCAAATCATCATTTTTCACTAACAAATTCTATATAGTATACTGTGACCAGTATATAGTATAATTGGAAATTTATTCCCAAAAGCTTCATTTCCAAGAAAACTTCGTAGATACATTGTTGGTTTCAAGCAAATATCTGTTGATTTACAGATTTTTTACAGGATTCTCCTGGGAAAGGCAAGATGGAGTGAACCAGAATAATTCTATGAATTTTGGGTTGTTGTTGTTGTTATTGTTTAAATAAATCTCCATATGAAGGAAAATAAAAGAAAGGCCAGAGTCAGAGACATTAGGTATCTTAAAAAAGTTTGCACATCTGGTATACAGCAACACTAGGATATGTGGTCTGGTGTAAGTTATTTAATCTTTTTGAGCCTCAGTTTACTCATCTTTAAAACTAGGAATATAATACAAATATTAGAATTAGTTTGAAACAACTTGGAGAAATATCATATGCATGTTCCTTAGTGAAGCATCTGGCATGTAGCAGGTTCTTTATAAATATTAGCTCCTTTTGCCTCCTTCTGTTTATCCAAAGGACATACGCCAACACTTTGAATATAAAAGGTGCTTGATATATAATGAATTCCTGCTTGATGGAACCTAGATTATCTGATTGGCTCTAACTGGGTAGTAGTTGCTGTGGAACATGCTGATTGAGGTACAGGTGACCCTCCTAGTTACTTTTATTTTTGTTGGCCATGGTTTTAAGAACTTGACTGTTTGGAGTCCAGGTGTGATTCTTGACTCTGGCAGTTATAAGCTGTATGATCTTAGCCAAAGTCCCTCTACCTTAGTTTTCCCATCTGTAAAATGAGTATAATGATGTAATGATGATGATGATGATAACAATGGTAACCTCCTGTTAGATGTGAGAGTGTGTGTGTGTGTGTGTGTGTGTGTGTGTGTGTGTGTGTGTGTATTGAGGAAGTCAATGGCCTACAAACACTTGAATTAATACTTGGCATAATCAACACTTAAAAATTGTTAGTTTTTATTCTTCTTCTGGTTTTTAAAAAAGATTTTATTTATTTATTTGAGAGAGAGTGAGCAGGAGGGAGAAGGAGAGAGAATCTGAAGCAGACTCCATGCTGAGCACAGAGCCCAACACGGAGTTCCATCCCACAACTGGGAGACCATGACCTGAGCCAAAACCAAGAGTCAGA